ACAACTCCCGTCGCAACCACCTCACCGTCGCTACCCGTGCCCGTATCGCCCTCACGCCCGCCTGCAACTCCCGTCGAGAGCACCTCGACGTCACTGCTTGCGCCCGCTCCGCCTCCACCCCCGCCTGCAACTCCCGTCGCAACCACCTCAGCGTCGCTACCCGCGCCTGCTCCGCCCTCACGCCCGCCTGCAACTCCCGTCGGTAACCACCTCAACGTCACTGCTTGCGCCACCGCTGCTATCCATCACGTCCCTCGACCCCTTCCCGCCGCCCGTAGAGTGATCGTCGGTTTAAAAAACCTCATCATTGTACTCCTCTCACGCTTAGCTTCAGCACCACGCCTGCGGATGTGAATAAATATTGATTGATCCGCCGTTGAGGGACAGAATTAATGATCTAATCGTTCTACTGTACATGCTGTGCCAAGTTGCGTAGTAGGCGACACATTCGCACACATCGACAAAGCTGCATGCACGCATTGATACTTTGCGCGACATGCGTGCGGCGAGGATAGACAAAGTAACGGGTCTTGCGAGGTCTTGAAATGTTGGTGAGCTCAAGTGAGCAGTCCAAATTACTCGAGAATGCAACTGCGGACACCGACCGCCATCGCCCTCACATGTGTGCGGTCGACCTCTCGTGCTGGTTCACATGAAACTGGGTCAGCCCTTCACCGGAGCCGAAAAAGTGCTGGCACGTGGTGCAAACCCAGTTGCCACTGCAATTCTTCTGAGCGATTTTCGCAACAGGCGAACGCGATCTGCTCGCATGCGATGGGCGTGCGGAAAGTGACAGGAAAGGGCAGGGGACACCAATGTAAAGGCCAGTTCTTCTGGAGAGGCACGAATAGCCCCGTGGCACACAGCCTTGTGGGTGGTGCCGGTCTGCATTTCGCGCATTTTTTTTCTCAAACGTTGTCACAAGTTGTCATGCTGCTCAGCTACCGCTGCGCTTCTGCCTCTGCTGTTGAGGCTCCCGCTACTGCTGCTTCCAGTTACATGGGAAGCAGCACAACACAAACGCAGCTGCCGCTGCCAGCTACACGGGCAGCTATACAACCACGTTTGGTGTGTATAACACGGCGGCAGTTGCATCGCGAGGGCTCCGCATTCGGGCACTCTTGGTTGCGTCCATCCTTGGTGCGGGTTGTTGTGTGTGTTGTTCTTACTATTGCTGCTGCTGCTGCTGCTGCTGCTGCTGCTGCTGCGAGGCAGATTATACTATAATGCAACCAAGGCAATATCACAAAATGGTCCTCATTCCTCTACACTCACTCTTCGTGCTTGTGCGAGGCCTCATGCTGCAAGGCGGTGCCCTCGTCGACTCCTGAACCGTCGCCGAAGTTGTGTCCGCTCCATGCCATCCGCTCGCTCTCGGCAGACGCGGTTTAGCCAAGCCGTCTTGTCGAAGGGGGTTGTTGATAGGAATCCCCTCCCCACGGAGACTGTGCTCATCGTGACCACTCTCCCCAAGCTCTCGCTCTCCCTCGCTCCTCTGCTACGGACGGCACCGCGGGGAGGGCTGCGGTACTCTCGAGGAGGGGCTACGTGGATTGTACTACGTACTACCCCCTTGCATGAAATGTGCCCACTTTATATATAGGATTTACTATAGACTTGTTTATAAGGAAATTGTGTGGCGTCTGGGGGGGGGGATGGGACCTTCCTACCCCCCCCCCCCCCCCCCCCCCCTTGTTTCCTGACAAAACTGTGACGTGCCCCAAGTAATGTCGGCGCGCGTTCAGCTGACCGGCTAGCATTCTGACTGACTCACTTTCCCCCTGACCAACGGCCGGCCCCCCTCGGTCAGCCCTGAATCCACCAACAACCTGTATGTGTGGTGTGTCGT